CATATGCTTTAATATCTTACATTTCTACGTCTGATGGTTTAAATTAATAAATAAATAAAAACGGCAGCAAAATTATAAATAATTAAAACAAAAATATATGAACTTTTAATCTGTGGAAGTAGGGTGTGAAATTTTCTGTCAGTGTAAAGAAGCAATTAACATACGTTAAAATTCTTTTAATTATTTACAAGACATAGGTTCTAAAATAGTAAGGTGGAGAAATAATATAATTTAATAAAACAATAGGAATAAATTTTATGTTTTTTTATTATTATTTATAATAGAGATAATTGTAATTTTATAAATAAGTGTAAGATATACATTTGCAAATTAAATTCATGGCAGAGATATGATTAAGTATTTTTTTTTTAAATTTTTATAGATAAAAATTAAAATTCACTAGTCTATGGACATTTTTCTTCATGTTTATAATATTTATCAAACGAGTAATATCATATTCACAAAAAAGACTTAAAATAATTAATTTGAAATTCGTTGAACAGGGGAATCGTCAGTAGTTTTCTAGTAATAAAACGTCAAATAGATAAAAATTTTATAGGTAAAAATTAAGGTTTCATTAATTTTTATAGGTCTCGGTGGCTCAGGAGATAGGGCGTTCAAATATGGCCTACATTCAAATCTCAACTGAGGCCGGTTGATGCGAATTTTGCTTCCGGATCGCATCGTCAACAGTGCTGACTCAAAATATCCTCAGTGGTAGACGGATCGTGGGTTCGAATCCCCTTGCCGTTTGGCTAGCCGTGTGGGAGGTTTTCCTCTCCATGTAACGCGAATTCTGGTTAGTGCCATCAAAAAGTCCTCTACGAAAGCAAGTTTGTCCCACTGCTTGATCCAGGAGTTCCCTTGTCTTCTGAGTTGGGTTCAAAATTCCAAGGCTACGGTGTTGAACATTGATAGTCGTAAACTCAGAACTGGGTCGGCTTCTCCACGCTGGTTATAAAATGAGATAACATAAAAGTGTCTAAACATAATTTTTCATTTGAATATTATCTCTCGTCCAGCAGTGGACTGATCGTTAGGACACGGTTCCCAGCAGATCACCGAAGTCAAGCATCACTGGTACGGTCAGTGTGCGGTTGGGTGACAACTTGGATCAGTCTGCGTAGGGACCGAGGGTGTGCGGTATTGGTCCTCGTTAAACTGTGCTACCGTAAAGTGCTCGACTTCGCGTGCAGGTCGTTGGGCTACCGAAGCGGGGGTGCCATCCCCTCTGCAGAGGATCAAAATTGTGATGGCATGTCTTCGGATCATCCTCAGGGATGTTTCCCAGACCGTCGCCAATAGCCCATTGTGCAGCTCTAGTGCGACGTAAATGAACTACAACTACAACAACAATATTATCTCGCTATATTTAAATAAGTTTACAAAAATTTGAATTTATTTTATTATCCATTGTTCATGAGGCTTTACAAATTTCTCCACGCTACATTTTTTTCCCCACTTGAAAATGTTTGCTATCTTATATTGAAAATAAGTTGTAAAAAAATATTGTTATAGCTTCTTATCACTACGATGTTATCTTTGATTTGAATACTATTGCTGCATTAAAATAATTCCAAATATAAAATTTTTCAAAATCATGCAATCTCGTGAATTACCCCCCCCCTCCTCTTCCCGCTCGTCCGTGAATATTAATAAACATGTTAGTTGTCGTGCGTATCAATGCACGCCTATTTGCAAATCTTCAGTCGCGGTGGTAATAAAATTGTATTTTTTTTTATTATTATGTAAAAGGAAAGAAAATTAAGCTTTGAATTTTTCTTGCCTTTACCTATTATTTCACAACAAAAGTTTGCACGCCATTATTTGTCGTTCAAATGACCAGGTAGCGGTAAAATCAGTTTCACACACTCTTTCACACCTACAGGCCTTACTCTTTTTTTTTGATTTTCTTAGAAGTATAACAAAGTAGTGGGAGCAGCTGTCCGGATGTATTATAGTGCGTGCCGTTCGTATTATTTTTTTTTTCTGCTGTAAAATAAAAACTGAATTTAGTCTTATTCAAACAGTAGGTGTTTGAAGCAACATTGTGAAACGCCTCTTATTCACGCCAACACAGGAGGCTGGTTATCTAGTTTAGATTCCTATTGTATTCCGTAGTGCACATTGGGTAATTTTCAAATCAACATTTAATTACTGTGATTAGTTCTATTAAGAAAGGATTTATAAATTTTTATTTATAAATTATTTTGATAGAAATAATAATATATATCATAAATGTGTAAAATCAGGCATGTGACTTATGGTGGAATTTCCGACTTGTATAGGAATATATTATTTTATTCTCTTTAATCAGATTTATATATAAAACTTAACTGTTTGTTGGACTGTCAATGTGCAGTGCGGGGAAGAGAAAAAAACTATCCTCAATAACTCTTGATCTAATGAGCAGATTTTCCCGTTCTTGGACTCTATATTAATGGTTCTATCTCATGCATGCTAAATGATTAGGGCAGACAATAGTTATACGAAATCAATCACAAAAATGTACTTTCTTTGAATAAATATACCTTTTCGTCGACAGATTCGGATTTCTGACCTCCAAATTAAAAGAGGAAGTCGCAATTTAGGAAATATGGTCTCAATAGTTTAATCAAGAGAGCGGTCCATCATATTTAAAAAATATAAGTAGACTGATTTCAATTCTCTCGAATTTTGTATTTTGCCACGTAGAACTACATTTTTTTTCAAATGATGTAAAATAGGCAGGGATAGCCTGGTTGGTAGGGAACTGGGCCCATGTCCAAGAGTTCGTGTGTTCGATCCCCGCCGGCCGAAGACTCCCGTGTTGTAAAATGGTGACTGATGCACGTTAAACTGTCGAGTTGCTAAGTCCTCCACGTTCCCATAACGAATCAATACATTTGAGGGTACTGATACAGGAGTTTTCTTGTCTTCTGGATTAGTACAAAATTACAAGGTTACGGAGTTGAACCTTAGTAGTCGTAAACACAAAATTGGGTCGGCTGTTCAACGACAATTATAAAAAATAAATGATGTAAAATCATTTATCTAACAATTCATAATTTTTTCAACTTTTGTTAAATAATCTTGTAGATCCAATCATTACCTATTCAGGGTAGTCCGTTTTTTTTTTCCGCACTGCACTCATATAGAAAAAAAAGGAAGAAAAAAAACTCTAAATAAGTATGCAAATAATTTTAATGTTTTCTTTTCGTACAAAATAGTTTCGCATGCTTTTTTATTCATTTTTTCACGACCAGAGTAAATAGGTGTTTCAGACTTTTTATTCTTCTTACGTTCATACCTGATTAAATAGTAAAAACCAATTTTATAATAGAGCTCTGCTTGTTACCTAGAACCTGGGTTTCCTTTGGTTAGGAATTGACTACGCTTTTTCTCTAGATTTAAATGTGCTAAAAAAATAATATTCAAACAAATCAATTAAGTTAAAGTGAAAAAAGCTTTGAGTGTGTGGGGTTTCCAATCTCAGAAAAGCATACATGGTTCAATTTAAAGTGCTCAAATGAAAATTTTATTGGTTACAGAAGCAAGTGACATAAAAATTTTACGTTTCCTAGAAAATTATAAATTACAATGCTGAAACAATAGCTTCATAACTAAAAGGGTTTGGTTAATATAATATGACACAAGCTGCCAAATTATAATTTTGAAACACTTTTTTCAGTTTTTGAGGCCACGGTGGCTCAGAGGACAGAGCGTAAAATATCCTAAGTGGTAGACGGATCATAGGTTAGAATCCCCTTGCCGTTGGGCTAAACGTGGGAGGTTTTCCTCACCATGTAACGAAAATACAGCTAGCACCTTTAAAAAGTCCTCCAGTCCGGAAGACTAGTTTGTCCCAATGCTTGAACCAAAGTCCCCTTGTCTTCTAGGTTGGGTTCAAAATTACTAGGCTACAGAGTTGAACAGTGTCAGTCGTAAACTCAGAATTGGGTCGTAAGGAAGGTTGGGAGGAGGAAAGGCGGTACCAAGAAATGTGACAACACAAATTTTTGTAAAAAAAAAACATTTAAAATCAGCAGATTAAATGTATATATGCACGTGCAGTTATAGTTATACTCGCAAAAGTCACTAAAATACATAGTTAAAAATTTAAAAATAAAATTTGAAATATGACCTGTAACATGAATTTTGTTTCTAAACTGCTTGTATATCTTAATTTAACAAGGCATGACACGTGACAAGTGGTGTAGGGGTTGATGAAGTTTGACACTTTGTTGCAAAGGAGAGGACAAAATATGGGAAAATATTTTAACTTCATTTATGGAATGTTTCATATCTTAACATTCTAATTCTTCTGGTGTGTTTTAATGTACGAGCACGTTTCAGTTTTACGAACGTAGTACAATTCCATCACTGCAAGAGTGATGAATATAAGATGAATGAATATAATCAGAAGTTTCATTCATCACAGCTTCTGGCCACTAGCCCCATGCCTTTTCTATTATTCGGCCTTTTTGCAATTATTGTTACCTGCCTGTTTTTATATATTCGTTTATTTTGCTATCTAATTTAATACTTGAGTACGAGTATGACATGGTTTGTTAGTCCATGGAATTATTTTTGACATTATTTCAATATTCAGATTTATCATTTTTGACAAAATTAGAATCACACACAATTTTTCCACTGACAACAGAGAAAGGCTCCTGTGTGTTGGCAGATAGTGTGTCCCCTGATGAAGTGCTGTCTTGCCAACACACATATATTTTATTTTTATTGCTTTTTCCTGCTTTAATTTTTTTTTTTTTTTTTTTTTTTTTTTTTTGAAGAACTAAATCACATACTATGTCCTCACAATTAAATTTTTAATTTTGTGAAGAGAACAGGTTTTGAAGCAAAATATAAAAGAGAATGATTATGGTAATAATGGTCCTGGATGTGAAATACCCTCTATAGATTTATAGCATTTTTATTTTATTAATAGTGTTTTAGGTTTTGTTTTCATAATAATTCTATTTTTGGTGCTAAAGTTCAACGTTTTTTATTTCCAGAAGCTAAATGGAAGCGTTTTCATCCATTTCGAGTGGTTCGTAAAATCTTTCGTCGGCGCATCAAAAGAGAAGGTACTGTGACGGATGCCTCAAAAAAATCATGGTCAACCAGTGAACTGCAAAGTGTGGATGACGATGGAACAGGGTAAACAATAAAAATATTATGTGAAACTGGAGTTATCTTAAAAACTGCTATGCACGCTCTAAATTAGTACTGTGAAACCTGATAAGCTGACCACCACCTGTCTAAGTTAATCTTTAAGAGGACTTTTCAACGCAACTTCTCTTTCATCTCCATAACTAATTTAACGTATAGAAAAAATGAGTTCAGGCAAACCAAGAGTAAGCTATGAAGTTTCGAAAACTGAAAAGAAATTTTTAAATAGCAAAATGAAGACAAATTATGAGAGGATAACTTAGGATTACGCGATGGGAAAGTTCCAGTAACTTGTTTGCGTCTTGATATTTTGAAATTTTTTTTTCAGCAATTAAAACTTCATGGTCTACTCTAGATTTGCCTGAACTTAATTTTCCATACTTTAAATTAATTTTAGAGTTGAAACAACTATTTCCCATGGAAAGTTTCCCCATGGTTTAGCGTTCTCATTAACTTAGACCGGTGGCTTAGACTAAGCTAGCAAAAACAATTAAATTCTTCCTTTTGAATTGATTACTTCTCCAGAATATTTATGAAACAGATATACCTTAGTTTCAGTCTTATGTAATAATATTAGTTCTAACTTGAAAACTAATGTGTATTAATTATTTATTAGTTATGTTAATGTTCAAATTTGGGTATCTTCATATTAGGTAAAATAATAATATATGAATAAGTTATTTCACCTGTCATCTTTTGATAACACGATTACCTTGGCAAAACCAGATCTCCGTGGTGCCTTAACTGTGCTGGCACCGTGAAATTTTGTTTTTTACCTCTATCAAAAAGTCTAAACTTGACCAACGCCCGTCTTTGATTCAGTTGGACCCATCAGGGTCTGTTTGTAGTTTTACTTGAAAGTATATATTTGTAACCAATTTATTTTTCTTAGAAATTTTTTTCCTCCGTCCAGTTTTAAAACAATTTATTTTTCGTTAGTCCGAGATTTGTGTGCTGTCAAACTCATTATATGTTCAAATTTCATTTATAATTTTTTAAATTGTAAAATGAGGCATGTTAAAAAAAAATAAAATAAACTTTAAGATACAAATTGCCATGTGTGCATATATATATATATATATATATATATACACACATGGCAGTAGAGAGAGATCTCAAGAAATACTCAAAGGATTATTTTATAATTTTAAAGGAGTTGAGATCATGCAATTTCTCATACTTAAATAAATTTTAAAGCTTCCAGAGATTTGAGGAACTGGAAATAAATTACGAACGAAAACAAGTATTTTGGAACATCCTATGCCATGAAATATAGCAATAAGTTTGTAATTTGAATCAATTACTTGGGTTATTATTTGAAATAATTTCATGGAATTTCGTTAACTTAAATATTTGTAGAGATAGGGAAAAAAAAATTATAAAAAAATAATCTTTCTGTCTTAGGTTTTTTGCTAAAGCTTTAAAAATATTCAATAATACTAAACAAAATTCTTGGAGCTATTTTTAATTAATTACAAAATTATTAGTTTTAAATGTGAAAAAAAAAATTCGTTTAAAATTATGCGAAATATGAGCATTTAAATTTGTTATTTTATAATGCTCAGGCATGGAAAAAAATTTAAAAAAAAATTTTTTTTTTGTTAATCGTATTTGGTAACTAATGAAAAAAGTCCAATTTGAATATCTTGAAAATTTAAAAAGTTTCCAGCAATTTTCCAAGTAGGTTTTGAACTTCTTCAAAAGAAAGCTCCAAATGGTAAGAGGTTTTTCACAAATTTCAATTTGTATCATGAGACAAAATTTAATAACAAGCAATAATAATCTATCTACTAAAAACAACCTGCAGCCCGCTGACTGTTGACATGCGGCCAGCAAAAGCTTCTAAACAAAATAGTTATTTATTTTGAAAAATAAAAAAATGTCGAAAATTTTGAATCGCACTTTAGACAAAGACAAAGAAATGTGAGAATATATAATGTAAGAATATGTAATGTCCGCTTATATATTCTTTGCTTTAGAGTCATCACTTTTTAAAGAGCTCAATTTAAATAGATTTTATTATAAATCTATACTTCTCGATCGCTTTTTCCGCCTTAATTCCTTCCTAGTTTTGGATCGTTTTAAGAAAATCCAATACTTTTAATAACTTTCCAATACTTTTTCATATTAAGATACGCAAATTTTGAATTCGAGTAATCACTTTTTGTCTCGCTTTATTTTGCCGATTTTATTTTAAATCCAAGTGATTTTTCGATTCATTTTTTTTTTTTTTTTTTTTTTTTTTTTTTTTTTTGCCAGTTTGCTTACAAATTTCCACGTGGTTTTTAAAATTCTGATACATTTAATACAATATTAGAACTTGTGAGGTTTAAATTGTGTATTTTTTTATATATTTTAATCTCGCACTTTTTAACTCTATTTGCGTCGATTTCATCGTAAAACAAAAATTTTTTTTTTAAGAATGAAAACCTTTTTTTAAAAGGTAGTTTTTGCTACGCTTTTCCACGTGATTTTGAAAATGCCAAATTTTTAGAGATCATTACAACACGCGAGTTTCAAATCGCATATTTAAATAATCACTTTTTGACGCTCTTTGTTCGTATAGATTTCATCTTAAATTCATGTTGTTTTTAAACTATTTTTCGGTAATTATTACTTTACATTTCCACGTAGTCTTAAAAATCCTGAATTGTATTACGACATGAAAATTTTAAATAATGCATCTAAATACTTACTTATGGTCACGCTTTATTCGTGCTAATTTCATCGTAATTTAACCGACTTTTTTTTTTCTTTTTGCAACTATTGCAATGTTTTTCCATGTGATTTTGACGATACTATCTCGTTTTTTTTTCCAACTACGATGCTTTAAAGATATGCGAGTTTTTAATCGTGCATTTAAATCATCACTTTTTGATACAATTTTGTGGAGTATTTCATCGTCAATCCAAATTATTCTTCCACCGTTTTTTTTCGGCAGTTAGAGCCATGTATTCCGATATTTTAACGCAATGAAGTTGCAACATGAAAATTTAGGAAAATGTGAATTTTTAAGCTGCTCATTGTTTCTAATTTTTTGTAACATAAGTGATTTTTTTCAGGACAAAAGCGAAAAATAAAACGTTTCCTATTTAAAATTCATGAAACGTCTTATAATTCAAAAAACAGAAATAATATCTGAAGTATAATACTAAATAAATATTGAATCTCATTTTGTACTATAATAGTTTTACTTTAATCTTTGGTTTTTGTTTAAAATTGCCTTCAATTATAATATTCAATTTGAATTTATATTACTCATCAAAATATGTATTTATTGATTTAGTTTTTATACTTTCATTCTGTGAAGATTTTTTTAAATTTTTTTTTTTTTTAAAGTTTGAATTTATTTTAAAATGTATACTCAGCTATATGAAAAAAAAAATATTTCTTTTATTCAATTTTTTTATTTTGTAGGATCCATCAATTTTTGATTTTAAAAAAAAGGGAAATTTTTCCTTAAAAAAAAGTACTAGTTTTTCCATTTTTGAATGAATTTTGATAGTTAAAAGTAATTTTAATAATTAAATGAATTTAATTTTCTGAAAATATTACTGATAAATTCCAGGTATACTGTTAAAAGAATGCTTATGTTTTGATAAAAATTTTGATATTTGCCGTTAACATGTCCAAATACGCGTGCGGCACTTTGTTATTCAACCTGCTGTGCAAGTTGCTCTTCACTCAAATTGGTTGTGCACCCCTACGTCTGCAATAATCGTCCCTACAAACAAATGTGATGGTAAAAGGAAAGAAAACATCATTTTATGGGGAATCATCCCCACTATACGGGTGTCATTTTTTATAAATCTTGTTTAATAGTACAAAATAAAATTTGTGAAAAGCTCCTTATCATTCAGAACTTTCTTTAAAAAATAAGTACAAAAAATAGAGTAAATTGTTCAAAACTTTAAAATTCCAAGGATATTCAAATCAAACTTTTTCCATTAGTTACTAAATGGAATTCGCTACAAAATTATGATTTTTTTTTCAATTTTTCCATGCTTACGCAGTATAAAAGAACTACTTTAAATGCTCATATTTTATTTAATTTTAAACAATTTTTTTTTTAAATTTTATAATGATAATTTGCAAATTAAATTTATCTCCAAATCTTTTGTTTAAATTAATTCAATTTTCTTAAAGCTATAGTAAAAAAACATGACAGAAAGTTTAGATTTTATAAAGAATTTCCATATCTTCATAAATATTTAAGCTAAGTTAACAAAATTCCATGAAATTATTTCAAATAACAACCAAAGTAGTTGATTCAAATTACAAGCTTACTATAATATTTTACGGCATAGGGTGTTCAAATATACTTGTTTCCGTTCGCAATTTATTGCCGGTCCCTCAAACTTCTTAAAACTTTAAAATTTATTCACAAGTGTGAGAAATTGCATGATCTAAACTTGTTTAAAGTTATGAAATAATCCTATAAGTATTTCTTGAGAAATTCAAAAATCTGTCAAAAAACTGAAAGTGACACTTCAATTATTGTTGNATAACTAATTTACAGTGGTATCGAATGTTAATTAAAGTATATTATATATATATATATATTGAAATTTTGAAAATTTTATTTAATTTAGTTAGCAAAGGAGAATGTGAAAATATACATACACAGGGTGCTTTGTTATGGCCAGCCTTATCATATATTTTTAGAATCCTTGTCAAAAGTGAAGTAAGAGAAGAATGCATGCATTATAAGATGCAATTAATATTTAAGCAAAAAACAAATGATATCGAAATCTAATGAATCAATCACTGCTCAGGAAAACAGGACTAAAAACATCAAAACCAATTTGATAGTCAGAAGAAACAGAGAGGAGTTGAATTAGGATTATTTTAAACACCTCCATAAGTTCAACATGTTAAATAAAATAAAAAATAAATTTAAAAAAATTGTAATAATCACAGTTGTCATCTTAATTTCCTCAGGCAATCTTACTAATCTTGATATTTTTAGTCCCGTTTCCTAAGTTGCGATTTGCTTGATTTCGATACTATTTGTGTTGTATCCCTGATTGAATATTAACTTCACACTCCTAACATGCATACTTTTTTTTTAATTTTCTTGGCAGGATTCTATAAATATGTACTAAGAGTGGTCAATATGAAATACCCTCCTGTAAGGGCGTAAAATTTTTAATTTCCATAATAGTGAAGAATAAAAAGCAAATTTTATTCATGAATAAATTATGAGTTTCCTTTTGATATGTTTTAAAGTGGCCACAGAACAGGAAAATCAGGGAGAACAAGGAAAAAGAAATTTAACTAAAGGACCCAAAAAGTCAGGGAAGATGAATAAATTCATGTTTGAAGTACAGAGATATCCGATATTTTTTCCAAAAAAATCTGTTTTTTTTTTTTTTTAAACTCTAATGACAAACATAAGAAGTTTGTAATATATTTTACATTTAAGAATATGTTTATATTGTTTTTACTCTTTTAATTATGATCTTTGTGATTTTCCATGCGTTGGCTGGATTTAGAGTCATGTTTTTAACTGTTGGTCGCTTGTGTTTTATTCTTTTTATACTGTTGTTGATATAATTTCTGATGTTTTATGTATGTTTTATGTATCTACTCTCGTATGCCCTTAAATAGGGCGGGTCAAGATACAAATAATCAATTTAAGAATATGGGAAAACTGAAAAATGTATAATCATGTAATAAAAATTAGGGAATTTTTTTTCCTTAATGTTTGTGGCCACCCTAGTTTATATAGTTTTAACATGAAAAATTTTAAACTAAGTGGAACCCATATATTGCAAAAACAACTTCATCTTCAATAAAATATCCTATTTGAATGTCAACATCTCTAATTTTACAAATATCTTTATTGAATTTCTCTAACAGAATGTTATACAATTTTCCAGGAAATGTGAAGTAACTTCACCCCTAAAAATTGGCTTAAGTGTTTCCCACGACAGCATTTTCTCTCCTGAAAACAATGCAAATGCTATGGGTAGCGAAACATTAAGTGTAACACATGGTTCATCTCTTTCTATTCATCAAACATCCATCAAAAACATGTTTAAAGTGAGTATCATAAAGTTATAATTTTAATCAAATTAAGATGAAAAGTGTATGTGATTTAATAAGTTACAAGGTTGCAAATGGCACAGTACAACTTGATTGGATGAAAATCTTTATATCATGAAATAAAAAAAGTTCAAAGCCTTTATGATTTTTGCATTAAAAATTTTCGTGTTGAGTTAGGGTCATAAAATGCAAGAAAATTTTGATCTAACCATTGTTATTCACGTACTACTACAACCCAGTACTGTCTTTACGCATGAGCACATCCGGGCAGTGCCCAAACACTCAGGGGACCCTTGACAATCATTTTATAAATTGTATTAAAACAAAACTAATGAATAAACAATATTGCATTACATATTTTTTAAAATAAATACATTCTTGCGTAATAAGTGTGCATTTTGTTTTATTTTTTCTACAAATAATGTTTGATTATCATGCAAACATCCATAATCTGAATAGTTTATCATCAGGAAAACTTAGAAAATCAACCGAGTAATTAAAAGTTTTCTACTTTAAAATGAAGTTTTTAGGTATACTAAACTCTCTAAGTCATAATGTTTCTAAATAAGTTGACCATCACAAACTCTGTTTAGTATTTATAATTAGTTAAATAAAGTAATAATTGAAAGAATTTAGTATTACACATGGGATAGCAACTCTTAAATTGGTTGAATTTTTTTTATTTGTTTTACCCTTTTGTTTTTTTAACTTAATTATTTTTATTAGCTTCTTACATTCTTGCTTGTTGCAAAACCGTGGTTTTTAAAATTATTTTATTATTTGAGAATTGGAACTGGTCAGCATTTCAAATTTATTTGAAATTATGCATAGTTTAAAAATGCTTTATTTTATGGGCATTTAGTTTTTGGGATAATAAAAACTTATTTAAGTTAGTTATAATTATTGCATATCTAAAAAATGCTTTATTTTATCTATGTGAAGTTTTTTAGTTCTATTTTAAATAATATGACATATTATAGGGGCCCAAAACATTACTGTTTACACAAATTTTAGATCATTATAAATAAAATATTAAAAATTACTAAACAATTATAAATAAAATTGTTTTGCTCAAATAAATGAGATCTTTCTTAGATGAATCTTAGGATAATTAAATTCTGTAATTGTGTGTAAAAATAATTTTCATCATTTAAACAATTTCAGAAATTGGCAAAATACTCAAAAAATAAAATTTCTTTTCAATCATTCTCCTGACTAAACTATTGGGAGCACATATTTTTCACATTAAATGCAAGGATGCCAACTGCTCTGCTTTCTGCAAAAGATTTTAGATTAGTGGTAGATAAATGGTTTTATGAGTCTCACCTTTAAGGACTATATTGTTCAAATGTCAAAATACTTAAAATAAAGAGAGAAGAAAAAACACAAAGCTGATCTTCCTTCAAAAAATAAAAACGACAGTTTCATAATTTTCTGCACAAAAATAAATGCATCTTTTAAGCTAAACTTATATCTTATGAATTTTTCAGAGTTTATTTTCAGCTGAGGCCCAGTAGCATGGTAGTAGCACTTCCCGCTTCTGAGACATAAGTTAATGGTTCTATTTTGGCTGACAAGTTTGACTAAGCTTTTCATCCCTTCAGTGGGTCCATAAAATGGATGCTTGAAGACTAATCACTGAGGGTTCTGAATTTCACTGACCATCCAATTAGAACGTCTGCTCCTACACCCCAGAACAAACGTATTAGAAAACTGGGATAGGTGGAGTAGACCTTGGCCCTCTATGAGTTTAGTTTTTTCAGCTAATTTAATTCAAATAAGTTTTAAAATATAAATTTTGTTTATTTTGCTCTCAACTAGTTCTGCTTTTAACTATGGTTCATTTTAGATTTAATTTTCATGTGAGAAGAAGCAATTATTTATTTTTTTAATAATATTTGAATAAAATATTTTATCTGTTTATTAAAATAAAGCCACACAACTTATTTTTGAAGTTAAAAGGTCTTAAAATTCCCTCACTTTTTTTTTCTGCAGGATGAACTCTTTTCTAGAGTTCGCGCTAGACGGGACTCTGATGATGATGATGACATTGGTTTGCCTCGTAGTCCATGTACTAGTCCTACCACTGTTGATGTCCTAACTCAAGGCTTAAAAGTAATTAATATGTTTAAGTTTATAATATTCTAATTTAGTCTAAAGCCTGATCCACAGGGCGTTTTGGACAGGCATTGGATTGATATCCTATTATATTTGTCCACTCAAATCTTCGTTAAATTTTGGCCAATATTTATTAAAAATTTTATTTTTCTAAAAAGAATTATTACAAAATATAATAGCATATTATTAAATTTTTCAAAAAAATTTTAAATGACATTTAGTTTTTCTACTTCTAATTGAATGGCAACAGAATTTTCATAAAAAAAATCAAATAAATATCTGTTTTTAATTAAGTTCTAAATTTGATCCTCTTATAAAAAGGAAATTAAAAAAATAATAACTAAGATATTGCTGATACCTTTATGAATGATTTTATTGAACATTTGATGACTTTCTTTAATATCTATTCTTCTTCATTATTTGAACAATAAAAATATTTCAGTAAAATATTTCAATCATAAATTCAAACATTTCAATCATAAATACATTTATGATAAAATTAAATTGTAGATATGTTATTTTATGCATTTACTGTTCATGTCAATATAAATAGTGAATTTATAAAACATGTCAAGTATTATATAAAAATTAAGAGCCTTTTATATGGTTTCAATTACAGGAAAAATCATCCAAATCCTTTACTACTTGTAGTGCTGGTAGTTTAATTAGTATGGGTAGTTCTGAAAATGATGAGGTATTTCTTTTCTTTCTCAAAAAAAAATTGTTCTTGCTTTGTAATTTGTTAATGTAATTCTAATTTTCAAAATTTTCTCAACCAGGATTCTGCTGGGCAATCTTCAGGTCATTCTTCGAGGATGTCTCTTATTGATAAACGATCTTTTGATTCTGGTATAAAATTATTTCTATTGCTTTACATTACCTTTCACTTAAAAGTTGAAAGTTCTTAAAAGTTAAACTCTTAAAAGTTTCTATTAATTACATGCTTATTTACTCTCATATTTAGTTCCAATTTTTAACATCTTTTAAGGGGTTTGATATAAATACGGAATTTGATTCCTTTTTGTTTTAAGACTTGCTAAACCATGTTTGCATTTTTCTGTATAACTTAAGAAATATGTTTTCGGTTTATGTTATTTCATTTATTAATATATTATTTGCATATTTTTATATCCATTTTAAGAAATGTGCTAAGATATTATAAAATAAAGTTTAATTTTTTATTTCTCTATGAAGTTATAAAAAATTTTTAAAGCTAAAATCGGCATACAAATTGTATATGAATTAGCAACTGTTAAAAAAAAATCGCCAACTAAGTACATTTAAATGTATCATTCATAGAATAATTGGTGTTTTCTTTTTATCAGACTTCCACAATTTTGTACACTGCTTGACAATTGCCAAGGAACAACTGATTTATGCAAAGTAGTGTGCCTGGTAGTCAATAACAGTAAAATCAAGTGAAGAGGGCGTAATAGAGCAGGACTCGTTATCTATATGGAAGGCAGTGCACACAAGCTTTTCATTCCTTCAAAAGTTTGTTTTATTTTTGCAAAATTCAGTGTGGCGTTACAATAATTAAATGCAAAATAGCAGTAAGGCATAATTTGAGTGCTTACAGTCGTAGACGAGCAGTTTGATAAAGGAAGCTGGTCAAAATTTTGTCCCTGGGGCCACAGTAATGGGTATGTCAAAAAGTGTAATCTCGCAATTAAAAAATGCCGCTGAGGATGGAAATATTATGCAATAGCATGCCAGTGGTTCTGATAGGAATAACACACCTCAGGTTAGTCAATGTGTATCCCTAGTGGTGAAAAGAAGAAAAAATTTCACACCTAAGCAGGTAGCTGCAGACCTTGCAACCACAACCGGTATGCATGTTTCTGCCAGAACTATCTCAAGGCAATAAATCAAAATAGTTTGTATGCATAGAAGACTTTTTGATGCATCCCACTGCAACAAAGCAATCGTTAAAAAAGATTATGTTGATGTAAGAAACGTATTGATTGGGGTCACCAACAGTGGTCCTGAGTGGTGTTCTCCTATAAATCCTGTTTCACTGTGATTTGTGCTTCAGTTAGTGTGGAGAGAGAAAACATGTTATGTGCAACAGAATGTTCATGAGGGTGATCAGTATGACCAAGCGTGCTAGTGTGTGCAGGTACCTTGTAGAATGGCAGAATACCGCTTCACATTTTAAAGCAAGATAGCGTTACATCACAGCAGTATTGCAGAGAGATTTGTCTGGATCATGTTCATCTTTTTAGTGTGTGGTAGGTCCAGATTTTCCATTAATGGACGATGATGTGCAGATACATATGAGCGCAGATGTTTAGATAAATTAGAAAGTGAAGATGTTGTTCGTATACCATGGCCAGTGTACCCTGGACCTAAATTCTATAGAGCGTGTCTGGGATGCCTTTGGTACACTTGTTTCACAAAGAACACACCCTCTCCAAATGGTGTAAGAGCTGAAAACCACCTTGAGAGAGGAGTGGGACAATATCCCCCAAGGACTCGTCGATAGTCAAGTGGACAGAATGAATAACCCATGCAAAATGTGTATTAGTGTCCAAGGTAATCACATTTTACTGAGGAACTCATATCTGTTTCATTCTGGCAAAAAGACCCATTTTTCGTGGCTGCACATTGTCTCTACTAAACATGGACTTAATTTCATTTCATCTATTAACGTCGATTATTAATTTTTCCGAAAAATATGGCTGTTTCTTAGCAATTGTCAGACAGTGTATTTAAAAATTTTCGTAAAAATAAAAATTTTTGTTTTTAGTTTTTTTATGTATATTTAGCATCAGTTATCTTAACAATGGAATGTAGAAAACTGACTTTGCATTGTCCCACATTTCTTCTCTTTATATTCTTATCTACATATGCTCTGAGCTATGGATGGTTGACAGTGTAAAGCTACGCTGAAATGGCTTAAAAATTTGCTGTAAGACTTCTGGGTTACTACTTCAAGTTGATTTTTACACCTAAGCTTGAAAAAGCATGCGATCCAAAATTATTATATTTGTAGCGTTTGTAATAAAACGCATCGCAAACAAATATAGCTAAATATGGGATAACACTTGAAACATGGCAAACCTTACACTTTGTGTTGTGTTATTACTTTTCTTCAATTTGCTTTAAGCTCACAACCAGTTAGAATTTATATATACAGGAAACTTTTATGAATGGTAAAATTACACGTAAATTTGAACACAAATCACAATAATAAAACTTCCTAGGAAAATAAGCCTGTTCACATATCCCCTTGTAGCCATTACATACGCAGAGGGATACACAGGAAATTTTCTAAATTTCTTCTAGTTTTAGGAAGCTTGTTATTGTTCACATTCCATTCATATTATTAACAGTGGCATAAATAGGTGTTTGGGGCCAAACCAAATGAGGCCTCTATCTAGGGTTGTCAAACATAAAATCAAGTACTTTAAATTAAACTAGAAATAATTTGGTATTGTATGGGTAATGTAATAAAGATTTTTATAAAATTAAAATAGCTAAATATATTTTAATTACTTTTCTAGTAATGATTAAAGTAAACTTGATAAGTGCTTACAAGGACAATTTTTGAAGTAAGAAAAAAAAATAATAATAACAAGCAAGAATTTTTTTTTCAAATATTTCCAAGAAAAAAATTTTTATTAACAAAAAATAAGCTTGATAAAAACTAAGCTAATAAAATATTTAGCTTTTTGAGGGAATTAATAAAATACAGATATTAAAAACCTGTAGTTTTTAAGTCACTGATTCTGTAATATAAAATAGTTTGCTTTTATCAGGTCATGTTTAAAAAATGCTTACTCCAAGTACAGTTATTTATAAACTCTTACACAATGCAATGAGTTTTTTGAAGATTCCCATCCCATCCCCAGTCTTTTATGTTTAACACCATAAATTACCGAACAGTGTTTTTAAAGTATAAATAAACATTCTTCTACTATAAAATATGTTTATAGTAATGAAATTTTTCATGTCTATGTTTGAATTTAATGTGTGTCCTGTAATTTAAGATGTAGATATGGATGTAAACCAGTCTGTACCCTTGAATCATAATGCTGCTCATCACAAAATTGCCATCAAACCAAAAAGAACATATGGATTACCTCGTCGTAGAATGAATCAAGTAAGTAATAAACATAATTTTTTAAAAATTAAAAGCTTATATGTCTGATTTAAGTGTTGTTTATTCCAAAGTGAATAATCAGAAATTTACTATATGTTCATACATGAATTTTTTTTAAATTTATCTTTGTTTAAATTCTTAGCCCTTTACTCAAAATACAGATTATTGGACAGTTTTTTCCAACAAATTGTCCTATTTTTTTAAATGGAGAAGTTATTGTTGTTTAACGCAGAGCATGTCCTCTTTTAGACTTTGTGTCTTTAGATCCTATATTAAATTCAACGCAATTCCACTAAACACTGCCTAAGCAATTAAGTAGGTATAAAATTAACCATCTAATACATATAACACTTCTGCTACCAAATGTTTTCTAATATTTTTTTAAATCTACAATTTATATAATTTTTTATGTTGAGCTAACTATTCTATAAACCTTTTGAGTTCTTATTTAGAATTTTCATCAGTAGTTAGCAAGTAAGTCATAAAAATTAAATACAATGTACAAAATACTGTAGAAAAAGTAGATAAAAAATACTAATTCAAAATCAAGCATTTCTACCATTTACAAAAGTTTAATGATGAATTTAAGTGACTAAAATGTTTATTTCATTTTTAGCTATCAATTTATAAACTGGAAAAAATTATTTAAAAAAATTAAATATGAGATCAATAGTACCTACATATGCAAACCACTGTCCCTTCCCATTTTAGCTGAAGCATAGGAATTTCATAAAATGTGGTATTATTTTCATTGAAATATGCTTAAATGACATTTATTAAGATACAAAAAAGTCTCATGCATGAAAAATATGTACTTTATTTAAGAAATGAAATAGTGTATGGTAAGTAATAATGGTAATAGTGCATAAATGGTAATGGTATTTTTTTAAAAAACAAGTTAAGAAACTTGGGTGTTTTAAAAATTTCTCAACAGAAAGTGTTTACTCCAATTAAAGAATGGCAGAAAAATAAAATTGGTGAAAATATACATCTTAGCGTCAATAACAAAAATATTTATTGAAATGGTGCCTTTATGCCCCTTCGGTTAAAATAAATCTAGCAAAAAACGGAAAACATAATCTCAAGTGGAAAACAGAAATTAATTTTACCCGAATGATTTTAGAAGTTTTAGAAATTAGTACTTAATATGGATATATAAGAGTTTAATTAAGCAATCAACAACTGCATTACAATTTAAGCTGTCAAAAATTAAACAGAGAAATAAGTTGCGTTTAATTTTTTCAAGCATTTTTTTCCGCATAATTAACACCAATTACAGTTGGTAAAGAAAAAGCAATAGAGAAATTTAACATGCTCAACCTTAATAACAATATATAAAGCTATCTATTCTTGTACTAGTCAGTTATGTTTCACGTAAAAAACTTTTATCACAACAAATTGCTTGCTATGGAGTATTAATGTAAGTGCCTGTAAAGTGTGAATTGATAATAATTATAATAAATATAAAATAATTATCTAGATTGCTGCTGCCAAACTGAATACTTTACCCTCAACTCCAGAAGTTGTAGAAGATAGCAGTAGACTTCTTCAGAAGGTTGAAACATTTGAAGTTGTGCGAAAGATACAAGGTATACTAATTTGAAAGAAAATGGTTACATAATTATGATTCTAGTAGATGTAATAAAATTACTCAATTTTCTTTAAAAGAGTTATCAAAGCTTATCTTTGTTTTAAATTTAATCAAACTTTATATTTTGAGTTGGCTGGATATTTTTTCAAATTCTGTCAAGCATATTGACATCTGTATTAATCCATTTTAAAAATGCATCATTTATTCAACTGACTACACATCTAAATTGACAACAAATACTTCTTGTGACAGAATAGATAAAATGACATGGAGATATAAACAGAGTTGCAGTGCTAAATTTTTTTCCAGGAACACAAGTTGAAAGAAAAACTTACCTATACTGTTACTGAGATGTAATATTTTTTAACAGATGTAGGAATAGGGAATGGGACACTGGGAAATAGTCAAATCCTATAAGCTATGTATGTAATTGTAGTACAAATTTCAAAAATAAAGTCAAAATTACATTAAATACTTTTTTATTTATTAATTATTATTTTGTGTTAACAAGGATTGATATGCTATTAATATCTAATGTATCAATATTGACTAAGGTGAGTTAAAAACATCATGCTTTATTGTTGGGTAAAATTAGGAAAACACTATAAAAAATTATAAGAAACACTTTGAAGTTTCATTCGTCAAATCAAATTCATTTTAATTTTTTCGATCCAGAATTCCTCATCAGTTATTTGTTTGATTTAAATAATTTTTCAAACTTATGTAAGCCTATAATTTTAATTTCATTCTTGATAAAAATTCTAAAAATATATTAAGAGCAAGTCATTACATCAACCCATATATATATATTTTCTTTCACTTCAAAATATTTTTACATTCATGTATATTTTCTAGTTTTAATCTTTCTAGACTATATATGTTTCTTTTGTATTCATATAATCAACATTTAGATTTATCACATAATATAAAAATGATTAATTGTCCTCCCATCTGAACTACCATTGAAAGAATTTTTAAAATTTATGTTTTTGTGTCAGATTTCATAATCTTATTAATAATAACTATTAAGCTTAGTTTAGCCCCTCGAGGGAGGACGATCACAACTTTTTACTTAAAAATCCGTTCATTATAGAACAAACGCTTTTGAGGTTGATTTATGTTTGATTTTGAGAAACTATTTTTTATTCTGATCAAGCAGAGTACTTTATCATAGCCGATGAAAATATTTTTAAGTACAAATTTAGTAATGAAGTTAACTTTATTTATAATTAACATTTATTTATAGTTCATAGTTAAAAAAGTAATGTAATCAAATAAAATAGAAAAAGAATTTAAAGTTTAACAATATCATTATCTTTTATTCTTGATTTTATGTATGCTCATTGTTTACATTATTCTTGACTTTATATAGACAGATTGATGTATGTAAAACAAAAAGTTACATCTTAGCATTAAGTTTTATTTTTTAACTCTCCCATAAGTTTTTTATACTATATTTTAGAGTATGGAACAACAAGAGGGTTTTGTAGACATGTAGTCAACAAACGGCTCATTCTTTTGAAGTGTTTGACAGGATTCTTAAAAATAGCAAAATTTATTTTGTAAGAAAGAAAATAACTGTGCTGATGGTCATTCATACATAACTTTATAAACAAAAAAATGAAATGATTTTTTTTTCTTTTCTGTATTGACATCAGAAATAAAAATTTCTTCCATTTTCCTTTTTTGCACACTTAAACTGCACTAACTGCACTTAAACTGCACACTAATACTGCACACTTAAAGAGCAGAAAAATGTAATTCCTATAACAGAAATTTTTTTTACAATATTGAAAGTAATTTTAACCTCGTTATAAACAAAAATTTTTTGTTATTTTAATATTAGCATTTTGATGACGACTTGGAAACTTGTTGTAATGGAGTTTTTTTTTTTAAATGCGCCATTGTATGAGGTTTTATAGTGATAATATTTACTACAATTTTTTATTGCAAACAATATAATTTAAAGAATAATATAACTTTTAACCTCTGATTTATTTCAAAATTGTACATATGAGGTTTTATTTTTCAGAGTCAAATGCTTCAATTGAAAAAGAAAATGTGTCTATGCAGATGTCTGAGAAAAAAATCATGCACACATCTTTTTCTTGTAGTGAAATGGCAGATTTCACTTCAGCTCTGATTCAAGATAAAACTTCATCTGAAAGCAATGTGAATATTATTAAAAGAAATAAGGATTATGAATCTAATTTTTTCCAAGAAGAAAAAGTAATGAAAAGTGATAAAACAAATCTAATTACCTCAGAACAACTTGACATTTCTAGGCAAAATGAAATAATAGGGGAAGATTCTAAAGAAAAATTCAAACTAAATAATTTACAGCAAAATTTCATTGAACAAAATGAATTCATTTATCGTGAAGTAAAGTATGAAAATACTTCCTCAGTTTTCGGAAGTGAGATTTTGAAAAATACTTTTGTTAAAAGTGATAATTTAAGTCCGATAAATTTGCATGATGCACTTCAGAATCACACAGAAGAGCCCATTAAAGTCTCATCTCTAGTAAGAAGTATTGAACGGTCAGAATCTTCAAAAGTAACTGATGAAAGTGGAGCCAATTTTGATAGAAGTGCAAATAATGTTGGGCAACACATTCAAAATGTGAAAATTGATGAAAAGCTAGATGAAATTAACAATATCGATCCAATCCGCGATATAATTAAACAAATTAGTCTCTCGAATGCATGCACTGATAAAGCAAATGAATCATTGCTTACAACTGTTTTTAAAGATAATCCTTGTTCTATACCTGGAATTCCAGAAGATAGCAAGCTTAATATAGATTGTGAGTTTGTACTAAAACCTGTAAAGAAAGACTTTACAGGTGATTCAGATTTAATCACCAAAGAAAACTTATTTGAAAAAGAGGGTACTTTAACTTCCTCTACATTTTTTGAGGAAGAGAGTATTATGAGCAGCAAAACTTTATCTTTGGGAGCTGAAGAAGGTGGTATATTTGTTTCTCATCATGCATCTACTCATAATGATCTCAAAGATATGCTAGTCACTGAAGCTCACAATTACGCTGCAGTTGAAGAAAAGAATGAAGTTTTCATTCAATGTACAACTTTGGACAATGATATTATGAAGAAAGAAAGTAATGAACCTTGGGTTAGTTCTGTAGGTTTTTCATCATCAAAGACTGATGTTACAGTTAGTTCCTCATCAACATTGTGTGACAGTAAAATGAACGAGGATAAAATAACAATTTCAGTTAACTCAAAACAAGCTGCCAAACATACGATTGCACCACAAGGTAAAAATATAAAGCAGCCTGTGGAAGAATATCAAAAACCTGCTCCTCTCATAAAATCTGATGTAAGTAAAAGAGTAGTCACAAAAGAAAAAGAAACAAACAAACAGAAGTCATTTTTGTCTGAAGGTTCTAATAACCCAACCAGCGTTCAAAATATAAATTCTCAAAAACGTGTTTCAGTTGAAATAGTTCCTTTTAGTCAAAGAATGAAAGAACGGAAATATCAGCCAATTACATTTTCAGGTAAAGAAACTAATACAGATAAAGAAAAGAAGACTTCAAATGTAACAGTAGAAAGAAAGCTATCAGATAGAAAACTAAGCACAAAAAATAAAGAGGTAGATAAATCAAACAGCAGACACTCTTTTTCTGGTGTTATTACATCAGATAAAAAGGAAGCTACAGTTGACAAAAAACCATCGAAACCTGAAAAAGTGCAGTATCCTGTTCAAATTAGAATACATAAATCAGCTCCAACTCAAGATGTAAAAGAAATAGCAAACAAACCTGGGTCTAATAAAGAACGTAAAAGTTCATTTAATAAAAATATCATAAAAGATGAAAAACTCCAATCTCCAAAATTAAAAGAAAAGAATGCGAAAATTGATAAACAAGAAAAATTAATTCCAGAAAATGCAAAATGGGAAGTTAAAATTCAGCCAGCTGCTAACTATTCAACATCCCATATTGTAGATGAGAGTTGCTCATCAGTAACATCTGAGAAAAATAACCAACAAAATGACTCACAAGTTTTAGCTGGAAATGAGCAAAGAGAGCTTCATTTAAATAATGAGCATGAATCTCTCAACACTAAGAGTGATACTAGAGTTCAAAAAGAAGCTCCAATTTCGTCTGATGAACCAGAGCCAGAATTGCTACGCGTGTTTGCTCGACGTTCAATAAAACAGAAGCACTGTGATAAAGTGAATGATATTGAGGAGAAGCCTGTCTCTGTTGTATCTTCAGAAGACTCAGTTCAATCTGAGAAAAAAGGGGATAATAAAGAAGTGATAAGTGTGTCACATACTAGTACTGTTATTAAAATTTCTGAAACTACAAAAGCTAATATTAAGCATGACTTAAAGAAAAAATCAAAGTCATTTTCTGAAAAAGAAAAAGTCATAGCTCGATCAGTTTCTCCATTAAAGGAAATAAATTTAATCCGCAGGGAATCTCCTACAAAACTCACATTAGATACACCAACAGCGAAAGAAACTTCACATCCAAGACAGAGAGTAGCAAATGTTCCTGACTTACCCGTAAGCTTACCACCGGATGTGATAAAAAGCTCTCTTAATGAGTTGAATGCTGATCATTCTCCTCAGCCAACTAAAGAAGAAAAAACAAGTTTGAGTCCTGTACCACCCTCAACTGGTTCTGTAAATGGAAACTTACCAAATTTAGGGACAGTCAAAGAAAACCAGGAAATTTTAAATGGAAAAGAGGCACATGCACCATCATGGTTACAGCTTGCACAACAGCGAAGAGAACTTCGAGAACAACGAGAGAGGCTTCTTTTAGGAGGGTCTCCTAATTCATTCATGGATGTAAGTAAAAATTTTATTTGAGATCCTTTCAAACTTAAGACATTTTATCATGTTAGTAATTGAATGATTTTTCTCCATAGGCTTCCAATAAACCATCACGCTCATCAAAAGTATGGGATATGGTTAATAACTTTCAAAAGCTGCAAATGACGTAAATAGATGTTTCATAACTAGCTGAAATTGCTTCAAGATTTATTATGTATAAGTGTACAGTTGCATAATGTGATTGCAGCTTTTGCTCGTTATACATTCTTTTGCAATTTAATACCACATATATGTACATGATGTATTTGTAAAAATAACTAAATTGCATACTGTGTTTTATCATTTTAATGTTAGATTGCATTTCTTTTAGTCTTTTTTTGTGTCTGTACAAAGGCCTAACCTGTAAGTTGATTTAGAGTGCTTAATGTTTTGTAGTAAAATAGAAAAAGTTGAAAACAAATCTTGAAAAGTGCATTATGAGTAGTTTTATATGTGATATGAAATTTGTAAAGCTTATAAGTAAAATATTTGTGAATTAAATGAAAAAATTTCCTTTATATACTAAGAAATTATAAAGCCAATTTTGATATGGAACAATATGCTTTTGAAAGAATGTAACTATTAAAGTATTCTATGAATTCAGTAGACTAAATTTATTTGTGATTTTATATACTAGTATGTTGTATGATAATTTCATATCTAAGTTACTCGCATTTTGTCAAAGAATTGATTGTATTGCGAAGATTTGGGAAGCTGCATATCTCTGCCATGCTAATAATTTTAAAATATTCTTAAATTTACAAAAAAAGTTTTTTTTTGAAGTTCACTAAACAAAGGAGTGTTATTTTTATATAATAATATAGTAAAAACTAAAAAAAAAAATTTTTTTTTTACTGCAAATTGTGATCTTGTATTTAACACTTGAAAAATTTTCTTCAAAAAGGAGGTATGCCTATTTTTGAGAATTTTGTCTTTTAGTAAAAATCAACTCGTGGTAAAAAAAATTTCCACTTGATGCCTGAAGATAAAATTTTTAGTGTTACTGATTGTGTTATGCAAAAGAAAAAATCATCTTGCATCTGTTAAAAATTTTAGGTGAACATGAAATTCAAAGCTACCCCTCTTCTGAAGTAAACTATCAATCCATTTCATTAATATTGGTGAAAAGTTTCTTTCAAGGTTGTAATCAATATTTAAGCGTATGGAATTGCCTTAATTATTTCTCAATACAATAACATTAAAAAAACAAGCTTAAAAATTTGTGTAAATTACAAACTATTTATCTAGAATAACTTATGATACAAAAAGTGTTTTAACATGCCTTAGTTTCGATTTAAAAAGTTTAAAACTGGAAAATAAGAATAACATTCGGTTTCAAACATTTCTACATAAAATAACCAATTAGTTTACAACAACAGTTAGTAAGTTGTGTAAAATTTGAAATCAAATTTAAATATATTTTTAATAGAAAATGTGTATTGTTTTTCTATGCTTTGAATAGCCATTACACAATTGCCTTAAAATTTTTTATCAAGCAGATTGTTCTGAGTTCAAAAACCTTAAATTATTGACATTAATATTTGCCAATTAACTTAAAATATCGAATAAATTGTTTTCTTAAAAGCGTAGCTGTATGCATTTTGGAAAGAGTAATGTAGGATTTAGTAAAACTAATATTTTCACTAATTAACTTTGCAATTTTTTAGTAAACAAAAGGCACTAACTTTAAAACACAAAATTAGCAAAAGGTAATATATATTTTTTTCATTAAAGTAGTTAACCAGTGCCAACACTAAGTGTACAAAATACAATTTTTTACATTTCAATATTTCCTTGCTTTTTGTCTTTGGATATAATTAAATGAATTCAAAGCAATTCCTGTAGGAAAAACAAACCAATTAGATGAAAAAATCTTCACCATCCATAAAAAGGAATTTAAATAGTCTGGTTTGAAGAAGTGTACAAAATTTTTTTTTACCATGTTTTAAAACATTGTTCTGTGTTAAAAAGGTTTTAAATACTTATGTAAGTTAATTTCTAAGCTAAATTTTTCTATTACATCAATAACTTTCAATAATCCATTAACGAATTTTCTAGTATTCGCTAAGACATATTGTACTGGCATAATATACTACAGGAATGCATTTTTAATCCCATGGTTTTATTATGTAAAATTCTCTCTAATGATATTTTGTACAACAATATTTCGGCTATTTGTGATTGGTTTAAAATATTTTTTTCCCCTGCATAGTTTTGAAAATGTTAATTTTTTCCTTCTTTATGCAATGGCAAATATTAAATAAATAAAAAAAAACACAAATAAAGATATCTTTAAGTTTAACAAGAAAAACAAAACCATGTATCTTTTTTTTCCTCACTATTTTATAAATTATCCAAGATCGCTCTGACTGCAAGTAATTGAAAGTGGACTTTATTCTAGGAGCAAAAGGTTAAAAAAATTTAGTGCTTCATTCTTTCAATAATATAAAAGTTAAATTTACTTATGAAATTTGTATTTGCATGATTATCGGTTTATTTAAACCAATGAGGATTTTGCCTTTAAAGAAGTGTGAAGTTTCAACCTTAACTTCTTTCTCCTTTAGGTGTAGTATATTTTTTTAAAAAAACTGAAACTTGCTGGATTTGTAAACACTATACTAAATATAAAATTCTTTTTTCTTACGTATGAGATCAATTTAGGAAATATTATATACCTACCAAACTTATAGTAAATATTGTCAAGTATACAATATAAATTCTAAAAGCAGTTGAGCAAATGATTTTGATATATATATATATGTTTTAACTCTTGAAATATTTAGCAATATATAAATCTAAGGACAGTGCAATTTTCTTAATTCAATGGCTAACTTATGAAACACAAATTTAAATATCTGTTTTTCGAAAAGAAAAGTACAGTAGAGAACCATTTATCCAGTATCCAGAAAACCGGGAAACCAGAAAACCCGGAAGAATTTTGCTTGGTTTTCCTGTTATTTTAAAGTATAAGGATTAAAAAAACGGAAATTTGACTCATCCTTAAAAAGGAGGAGAGGGAAAGGGGGGAATTCTACTCCTCACTTGCCCAGTGGAACTTTTCTTCCCTTGACCTTGAAGATCATTAGATCAAGAGGGGGCGGGGAAGGGGAAAATGTTTTGTTTTCTCCTGTGCGTCAGTAGTTTTTCTGATAAGCTGCCATCAATCAAACTTAAAGGACTGGCAAGCTGATTTCGTTTTCTCTGATTTACGAGGGGGTGGGGTAAATGCATTGCACTCATATATCAACGAATGTCCCAGTTAAGGAACTTGAAACTTCTGGCTAAGAGTGTTGATTTTAAAGGTGAAATGTGAGATTTATTTTAATTTCACTTCAGTTGCTCAGTTTTTGTTATCCTTGATTTATTATGATGAATTGTTTTATTATTTGGGATAATGCATTATTTATTAGAAACAATACGTTTCTTAATAACCAGTTATATTCATCTATTTGACATCAATTAACAAAACAATATTTTTTTGTTGAATAAATTCTGATTTTTTAGAAATGTGATATCATTAGCAGTTTTTCTTGATGTGGAATCGCATCTGCTTTGTTAAAAATAGTCTTTGTATAAAAAATAAAGAAGATTGTTTATTAATTTAAGCATATAATTATTTGTTAATAAAAGCAGACAATTATTTCATGAAGCAGCAGTTTTCTTTTTTTAATTTTGATCCTGTTTTTCTGATTCCACAGTGTTTTTTTTTTTTAAAGATAAATTTCTTAATAAATTAATTCTTTTTATTCATAAATTTTATCATTAAGTTTTTTTTTTTTTTATAATTCCGCTGATCTTATAATATCCTCTCTTGTTCCAGGTTTTAATATTTATGTTAGTGCCTTTTTTAAATATCGTTTCTGTTCCATAATTTTCAAGTGTTGTTTTCATTAAGATTAATAAGTTTTCTTTTTATTGTTCCCATTCCCCTCCCAGTATAATTAGGTATGAAATATATTGCGTTTTTGAATTATTGCTTTTGTTTTATATTAGTTAATTTGGGGATTTTAATTATCATCAAAAAATAAATATGCGAATTTTGCATTTTTTGAACTTGTTTTTCTTGTCTAAACTTGCAAATGTTTTTATCCTTTTAAAAGTTATTTTTCTACCATTTTTTTTCTTTAATTTAGATCTTTTCGTGTTTTTTTTCTTCTTATTTTAAGATATGTTTCACTTTTTTCTTGTAATTTGGGTTTGATAAAACATTGATTAACGGCACTTTCGGCTGATCCAGAAAACCGGGAAATTCAGACATCCGGGATAGTGATGGTCCCGAGCATCCCGGTTAATTGGTTCTCTACTGTATCTGCAATTAATAAATTAGATTCATGTTCTGATTAATCATTAACAATCTGAACATTGCATGGGCTAAAGAGGTCCTTTCACTTGTTAGCGAAAAACCATTTTCTTTGTTATTCAATGGTTAAATTTGTATATTGAGTTGAAATTTCTATACAAACTTACCTGAATGTGAAACAGTTAAGATATTTTTTAATACTATTGTTGTACACTATGGTCTTGCTTCCAGCATTTTTTGGTGATATTTTGCTTTTCTTAATCTTTAGGGCACAGTAATATATGAAGGGTGTCTCTAGATCAAGGGCTTTTCTTTCCTTCATTACTTTCAGTTTTAAAATAAATATTGTAAAGTATGTCATAAGAAGTTTTTTAATAGCAATAAGTTTCAGCTGTGATTAAACATGTTACTTTTTCCACATAAATCATATTATGTTAGCTTGGTACAAATCTACAAAGCTTCGGCCACAAAAGCTGATATTCATAGTTTGTTAAAGGACACAAAAAGCTACCACCTGAGTCAGAGTTAAATTCTCTCTCCCCAGTACAGATTTTAGCATCTTTATTTAATGTAATTCACTGCATAGACTTGTATTAAAAAAACATGCTTCTGAAATTGCTGTAAAATTTTTTTTATAAAACTATTTATCTAAAAAAAAAAAAAAAGACTTAGAGAAAAATTTATATCTTTACCTTCTTAAATTACAAGTTATCAGGTAAGGAAAGTAAAATAATAATTTAAAGTATTAAAGATTTTGAGTATACTGACAAGTCTCCATTTCAGATTAAAATAAAATGAATTGTTGTTACCTGCTTTCATTTATTTGAAGAAAAAAAAAACTAAATAAAATACACGAAATTCATAGGAATAAAGATTGCAATCTTTGAATAAACCCTTTTATAGATATTTCATGTAAAATTCGCATTTAGACTATATCTTCTCAGTATTGCAAAATCAGATTCCCCGTGTTATTAAATTTAAAAACAGTGAGAGAATGCTTACCAAGTATTGCTTTTCTTTGTTACTATAACAGACATTTATTATAAATTACTAACAAGGGTTTAGGGTGAGTGGATGAATCAAAATGATGCTGAACCCTTAAGTAATTTTTCAATATAGATAACTTCTTTTTGTGAACTTTAGCAGGGCTAAGTGGGCTATCTATGCAGACTAAGAATCTATCCAGGATCTTCAGACTGGGTAATCCTTTACAAAACTTGAAACTTAGCAAAGTGTAAATACAAATTGAAGTATTAATTTGATAGTGCCTATTTTATGACCCTATATAAAACTAATTTCTTTT